TTTTTATTAAACTCATCTTGGCTTCTTTCTACTGACAAATACAGGTATTTGGGAAAAAATGCCTTTAAAAGTATGGTATCTACCAGCCTAAAAGGATTCCTTCCTAAGGAATTAGACCTGTGAAGTGGAATTCTTTTAGCCACACTGGAAGAACAAATTAAATGCATGAAATCTTTGCTGATGCTGGTACCAGGTTACTTCAGTTCCCACTCTAGGTCAGGAATATCAGAGTTTTTCTAGGCTAACAGTCCTAATGCTGGCAAAATCCAACCAGCCTGCTATCAGAGAGGTGAAACAGACTGGTTTTTGTCATATTATACCAGAAAACAACTTGTGTCAACTGAATCAAGGGGGTTTGGTTTTGCTTTTAAGATGTGTATCTACTCTAAGGGTGTGAATCTAATTATTTGGCCTTATCATAGTATGCTAGGGGGAGTTTTGCTTAAATAATTCTGCTGATTTTCCTGGCTGGCTTGGAAAATTAAGAAACTTCTGTGAGCAAAGCAAACAAATGCTCAGAACAAACCAGATGCTCTTAGTGCACAGTAGATCAGAGTTTTCAGCTACCTAGACATCCTTAATTATTTTCAGCAAATAAGTCATCTGGGTAAAGCTGTTCATTGTAATAAAGGTTGTGCATTTCTTGTTGAGGTTATCTCATCTTGGGGCACTCAGCATTTCACTGACAAAATATATAAAGCATTTTTTTCTTACAACTAGTAAAAAGAAAGTGAAGTCATAAAGAGAACCCAACATCTTTTTCTGTAGCACCTAGAGATGGTAATAAAAGGTTTTCAGGTTTTTCTCGCCACTTTTAAAATATTCTGTTACTACTAAGCAATGGCAGGGATCTCTCTTGTTGCAAGAAGCAGTAGACCCTTGGTCAGCCAAGACCCTTTAGCCCTGAATATTCAAGAATCAACTTTTTAAAAGTACTTATGTTTATTTATTATCTTATATAAGAAGGGATTATGATGACTCTAAGACACAAGGCTACTTGTGTTACACAGCAGTCATCAGTGCCTGGTACACATTCATCCCCCAGGCTGTGGTATATTTGTATCTAGGAATTTATTCTGGGATCACCAGAGAACTCTCAAGAATTACGACAAAAAACTTTCCATAGAAATGCTGCTTCATATCTCGCTCTGTTTATGCTTTGTCTTGCTATGAGGGTAAAAGCTTAGTTCCAAACGCAAATCACAGATTGTAAATATCAGAAGGTGCTAGATGTGTCATCAGAAGGGAACCTCTAATAGCAACCAGTAGGAAGTATAACCACAGTTTGCTAGGAATTTTGTATTCACATCTGGTGATGACATCTTTATATAGTATCATCAGTGATGCTCTGAACGGGTACAGTTTGATGGGTGCATATCCTTGGTTCTAGCGATACTACATTTTAAGAGTGATGTATAGTAAAACATAATTTCACAATGTAAATTTATTACCTATATATGCTTTGCCTCAAAAAATTCTACTAGCTTTTTATTCTATTTTTTATACAGCACCTCATATTTCAAGGAATGGAAAACAATTTGATATGAAATCCCAAGCATTCTTTTTAAAATCAAAGTACTTTGAATACTTTCAGGAACAGAATAAGGTCACCTAAGTGCAGCTCCTGGCTTGACCATGCACACCTGAGGCAGGAACTTCAAAAGGCAGATGGTTTGGCCACAGTGGTGAAGTGGGGGGGGTCATGTGTTTGTGTGTTTTCTGCAGATGTGCACATGGAGAATGTGGACTGCAAAAGTATGTCCCACTCTGTCAAACCACTTCAAGTTGCATAGAGCATTTTTCCATGTACTGTAATGCTCGAGCAATCAAATTTGCATCGGATGGCTCACTCTACTAATTGCTGAAGCACAGACTGGAATATTTCCACAGCTCAAAAAAACTTTGACAGATACAGAAAATATAGCGAGAGCTGCATTTCTCCGCCTTATTTTGGAATTGCAGTAATTTCTCCTGGAACGGGAAAAGCAGGTACCCAATTCTCAAATTGGGTAATTACTCCTAATTACTGCTTACATCTCGCTGGTGACAGTTACCACAAAGGAGCAGCTTTATCAGTATTAATGGGAGATTAGAGAAATGAAATTTTAAACGCCCTTGCAAGATTGCAGAGATGAACAAATGAAAAGAAGATGGAAAAGAGGTTGTGCTGAACCTTGCTTTCAGGATGTATAAGCCCTCTCTTTTAGAAATCAGAAATTGCAACTTAGCCATCTCAGAAAGAAGTATGAGCTCCAGGATAATATGCTCCTGATACAAACAACTCAATTACTTAACAACTAGAATTCTCTGCCCCATCAAAGACACTCACAACATGCACAGCCTTGCCTAAAATCTCAGTTACAAGTCCCGCAGAGAATTAATGCATCAGTTATGGTGAAGGTCTATCTCCCATTTTCTAACCTCTCATGGCCAATACAGTGTACTAAGGAGCAAAACTGTCCACAAGGGAAGCAAAGTTTAATGACAGTGTAAGAGATGGACAGTCTCAGAACTAAGCTTAGGGATGACTTTTGAAGACAACCCTCAGACCAATCTCCTTTAGAAATGAATGCAAGATTTACTTCTGTATGTCACAGAACTACAGGATCACAGAATAATTTCAGTTCAAAGAGACCATTGCAGGTAGCCTAGTTCAAAACCTTGTCCAAACCAGGTCACGCAGGGACTTCCCCAGTTGGGTTTGAAAGTCTCCAGCAAAAGAGTTTCCACAACTTCTCTGGGCAACCTAATTATGGCTCATTTGGATTTAGTGCTCTCCCCACCATGAGTTCTTCATATAGAGAGATCCACACAACTGCCTGCTAATACACAAAAGCAAGCCTAGAGCTGGCCTAACCGATATTTTCAAGGAGGGAAAATAGGAAGATACTGTATGTGCAAAACTTTGGAAAGAGTAAAGGTTCACAAGTCACACAGAAGAAAATATCACACTTATACATCTACTTCTCAAGTCTTAGAAACTGCACTTACTGTTTACTTCTATCTACTTTGTCTACACCTGACCCGTAGTACATGATGCACTGTAAATGTCCTACCTGTTCTTTTTGCATCTGGCTATCCACACTACAAAAGTCAAACACTAACCGATTTCTTGAACGCCTTTTAAAAATTATTTTTCCCAGTTATGGATTTTCATTCCAAACATCTAGAGTATTTGTAATTCAGAATTCAACTGAGGAAAGGAGGGTGTTATAGCACAAAATTAGGAGATTTTTCATTTTAAAGTAATTCATTTCAGATGTCATATCAGAAATTGAGATGTTAATTAATGCAGAAAAGTTGATAGGTTTATGACGAGCTATTGTGTATATTTTTCCAGATGATGGCAACACACTGACAGCTTTAAAGAAGTAGATCTGTTAATGTAAGGTTTGTTGTCTAAGCAGCCTCTTCCCTCTGCAGCAATCCAAGAGTTTACATTTACAGTTGATTATCATTTTTATTCCAATATTTGCTAATCATCTCAGAGACTGTGAAAACAAGCATAATTTGTCTCAAGCTCTCTCCTGTAGACATACTATTCTTCTGCATCTAGAAGACAACATATGCAATGTTTTCTCTTAAAGCAGCCATTCTTACTTCTTTTAAAATGTTTCAGACAGCACTGTTCTATTTTCCTCTTATGTAAGATGCAACAGCCAACAGAACATAATTCATTCTCAGGTTTACAGTAAGCTTTCTTTTGCAAGCAGCAGAAACAGCAAAAGTTTATTTTCTCTGTGTTTGGAGGCAAAGTTAGTTTGGAGATTCAGTGGTAAGGGACAAATTCATCCTGCTGCTTCTGCTTTGGCTGCGCAGTTTATAGGGTTTATCTCCTTCATTAAGCCCTTTATTCTCACACACCACCTGTACCTTGCTGTCTCGGGTGACCCAGACATTCTGTGTGAAATTTAACTGAAGTGGAAAAAAGAGGGCTGACAGCAGATGCACAAATACCATCTTGGAGACATAGTTTCCTTAGGCCTTTGTGCTTAAAACCTGGAGTTTTTAAGAAAAGTATTAAACTCAACCTAACAGTGTCTCCAAAAAGTGATGGCAAAACATCGCACCCAGCAACAGCTTAAGTGGAAGTAGCGCTCTGGTTCTCAAAAATGATACAAGTTTAGTCTGTTCTCACCGATAAAGGTCACTGCTAAAGCAATCTGCCACTCTGGGGGCAGATTGCACTTACGTACATTCACTTCACTTCTTTCAAATCATTCATCCAGGATACTCCCTGCTTTCACCGGGCTGCAACACATTTAAGTGTGAACAGATTGATTAACAACCAGGAATCTGAAACAAGCTGCCACTGTATTTCACTGTAGATGAGCAGGGATTGCGGGAGAGACTTTGTAGAGTCAAACCATACATGTACAGGGGGCTGTGCAACACAAACTGCACATTGCAATAGGGTGATCCTGGGCAGAAGACAGAGAGTCATTGCTTTTTAAGGGTTTGCTTTTTCAAAAGTATTGGGAGGTATGACAGCAATGATGATGGTTTTTTTGAAACAGTAGAAACACACAGAAAACAATACAGGCAGAATAACACACAGAAACAATAAGCTATTTCAGAAGCAGAGAAGTTGATGAACTGACATATTCAAGCACAATTCCAACTCCTAATCAGTACAGGTTAGACAACTGTTTTTCAATTATATCCTAGAAATTCTTGTGGCAGTCATCAAACAGAAGGTTTGTGACAGAGTAAGAAAAGTTTTCCCAACTTGTACAATAATTTGTACCTTGATTTTTTAACTATGCTGTCTCAAAATATATAACAAGCAAGACAGGATATCTTGCTTCACAATACATTACATAATACATTACAGAGTATTTTCCTGCTTTTAATTCTGTCTGACACCAATAAAGTAGACTGTGTATACATTTTTACTTGCCTGTTTCTCAGATTTGTACCTCAAAAATACTGCTCTCCTTCTAAAAGGAATTATTAATTTTTAGTGAAACAAAGGCAAATGAGAAAAAACATTTGCTTACCAACATCCCTTCTCAATTTCAAATGCCTAAGTAGCAATATAAGCTCATCAATCAGGAGCTAGAAACATATAAAACAAATAAATACTTAGATCACCTACTTAATTCCTTTTCTGTTGTCTGGATCACTCTCTCAAGCATACAAATAATTTTTAATCAACTCCAAAATAACTGCAGATGATAAATAATAACACATCAGCATGGCCTAAGCATATGTCATGCTCATTTGAGAAGGTAATGTCTGCCTCAAAAGGTGCCTATGTCCTGTGTTATGTTGCAGTTATTATAAAAAGTTTTCTTGTAAAGCAATAGAGAAAATACCACCTAAAACTTCAGCATCTTGTTGGTATAGTATTTAATGTTGCTTCAGTAACTCTTAAATGCAAGTGACAAAAAAAAAATCAAGGCTCCTTTTAATATTTTTTGACACAGACCTAATTTCTTCAGGTTTTCTTCAGTTTTCATTGACAGGTATGCAACCGACACCTTAGAGAATTCTTATTTATTGTGCTAAAAACTGGGTGCAATCTACCAAAAGTATAAGCAAACCCAAGTGACAGATTTATGACTAGTTACACAGCCGCTAAATTGAGGAAGTGTGGTGTTAGTTTACAAGCCTTCCTCCCTTGATTTTTATACCTACTATTCCTATTTATGCTACTAATCCATAAGAAGCCTGGTAGCTTTCATAACCTTTTAGACAGTAAATCATTCAGACTCACAGCAGAGTCTCCCAAAGCAGACAGGACACACCTACATGGAATCTCTGTGTCCAATGTCAACACCCATGGCCCACCCTACCTCCTGAGCCCCAAGCAGGACTTTTAACTTCACCAACTGCCCCAGGTAAAGGCACTGGGGAAGCTCACCTAAAAATGTACAATAGAGGAAGGAATAAGTTGGTAGAAATCTGGTTCAGGGTAAAAACATTTCAAATGCTTCAGATGAGAAATTTAGCCATTCTGAACTAAAACTGTCCAACAGCTTTGACTATAAACTTGCCCTTAGCAGAGGAGTTTTCTCTGGTTGCTTCTCAAGCTTGCATAAATGTAAACACATCCCAACATGAAGCAGCACTGTTTTACATAATTAAAAAAAATAAATAAAATGATAGCACTAATAGAGATACCTTCAATATGATCCATTATAAGAACATACTCTATTGCATAATTAAACATTTGATATGCTCTCTAATTGCTCTGAGGCAAAGAGAACCTATCAAAACTGCATTTTTAACCCTTAATGTTAAATATAACATGTGGGAAAGGGAAAGGGTGTTAATGTATTTCAAAATTAGACATAGAATAAAGCTACAATTTGCTCCCTTTTCCAGCATAAAAATATTTTCAACGACATAGAAATAGATCTCTTTTCTGTGTAATGAATAAAAGACTCGATCTTATCATTAGAAAGAAAGAAAAAGGGGTTTAGCATAAAATATCTCTTTAAAATGGAGGTCCACCACTAGGAAAGCCAACTATTGGTACTTCTGCACTTGCTGTATCATAGACACACAAATGTATTGGTTTATGTAATTACCATCTCAGTAGGTAAGGAACTAGAAAAGCCAACATCCCAGCATTTCCTGAGCTTGCTACTAATTAAATCATATGCATACCAGTTCAATCCAAGGATGATCAAAGTTAATGAAAAAAAATTCAATTTAATTCAATGAACTGTGGATCAGTTCCAGACATCTAGCTGCTACTCCATCCTCTTTCTTCTTTATCAAAAAGCACTCCAACAGTGTGAAAGTGAAGAGGACTCCATATGAGTCTACAGATTCTGTGATTTTGTATTTCCCCTCAGATCTGAATTTTAAATTAATTATTTGACAGTTGACTACATTGCATAAAATTAAGTAATCTTTTCCATGAAGGTGGATTAGAGGCTACTCCAGGTTTGGAAGGAAAACTGACTACTAACATTACTGTTACATCAATTAGCTTTAAAAGATTTCAACCATCTCTTTCACACACATACACATTCATTATAAATTTATTTATGTGTCCCACTCTTCACCCCTGCAACAATATATTGCCATACCTGAGCATGTAAAATGTCACTAAATTTATAAGGCTTCCTAAGATTAACAGAAAGACAAATTAATGTAGTCGAAAGAAAAAAAAAAAAAAGACTCCATGCTCAGATCAAATATCTATTTCTAGTTACATTTGAAATGCAATATCACAACTGCCAAACAACTTCAGTAAACTGGACATAACATTTATGAAACGTGTCTGAATAGCCTTTGCTTCAATTCTTATTAACAATGTTTTTTCACATTCTCTTTTTCACTACATATTTGTATTAAAAATGGTAATTTAATTCTAGCATCTCAAAACTCATCTGCCAGTGCTGTCCAGGTGCTTTGTAGCCATGGTTTCAGCAAATGTCCTTTCAGATCAGCCTAAAGGCTCTCATTTATTTAAAACAGAGATGGGCAGGGGTTGCTCTAAAATCTTTATTTGGGAATTCAATATATGCATCACTTTTAATAGCCACTGCATAATGTCTCAAATGCAATGAGTATTACAGAGGAAATTAAATTTTAAAAAATAATCTTTCCTGTTTAAGAATCAATAGTCAGTTAAATGAAAACTGAAGCTGTCAGCTTTCAATAGGAAGAAAAGTGTCTATGCCTGAAACTTCCCATTCCATCTATACAGGGACACAAGCTGAAATGAAAAATTGTGTTTTGACATAGTTTCAATAACATTTATGTATGTAGTGCTGCCCAGTTGTCCAACTCACATCTTCCTATTCTAAGACAGATTTCAAGCATTTACTGTTGGAAAAGCGTTTTTTTTATTCATCAGCTCCTTCTATTTCATGTTGGAGAAGAACACTAAAGCCAATGGGAAGGGAATGGTGCTACTACAACTTGTATTCCCACACCTCAGGTCTCCTTCGCTGTACCTACTCAGAAGCCCTGGACAACTCCACTGTGCCACTGGGAACTTCATGACCAGGGAGTCAGAGCTTCCGGATTTTATCCCCATGCAATGCAAAATCATCTCTCATGGAGCCCTAAAATCCTGAATTGGAATATGAAATGATTTCCCAGTATGCTTGCCCCTTCTCTCTCAACCACTGTGTGTGATGAAAGAGATATAAAGAGAGAGATGCCAGAAAATGATGACTGAAATCCCTACAGCCTTTCTTCTGTTTCATTTTGACAGGGAAGTTGTCTGCAGAGCCACTTTTAGGCATCCAATTAAAAACAAGGTTACCGGGGTGTTTTTACTGGGTCCAGACATATAAGAAATGGTTCTTAAACTCAGCCCTTGCCTGAGTATAGCATAGTTACAGGATAATAGACTTATAGTTTAAGGTACAATGAGTAAAAACTGAGTCCTATAAATTTACCCTCGTGCTAATACTGCTCTTGAGGGAAAAAGAGATACTTTCTTATACTTTAAAACACTGTTATCAGCCCACTATCTTTGAAATGTTAAATGGGACCTACTAAGAAGTAAATTCTGTTTGCTGCAACACTATTTCTTAGATAATGTGAAAACCTTTACTGTTTTTGTACAATTCCCTATCACCGAAGCTCTTTTCTGTTGAGTGAGGGAAACAGAAATTAACAACCAGATTTTTTTTATTCTCCCATTTATGTGCTAGTGACTTAAGCTGCTGTGTTCCCTTACTGTTATTGTGGTTAGAAGCAGAAGATCCCTTCATCTGTCAAGAACTCTTAACCCAAAATCTTAAGCTATAATTGCAAATATATACTATGTTACAGCACACAAAATTTGTTTAGAAACTCTGTATCATCATTTACATTTGATCCCAAATCACATAGGCTGCAAACACAAAAAATGCATGAAAAAAAAGAAATAAAACACAAGTATAGGGCAAAGCAGCTAGCCTACACAGAGTGCAGTATTCACTTCCATATTGTAAAAGGAAAGAAACCCAAACAACTCACCACATCAGTTTCTAAATGACAGAGTTAATTCCAACCCGTTTAACCTACACAAAATGCTGGACTCTCATGAACAGCAAGATTTGAAAACAATACAGAAGGCTCTGCCAGCAAGTCACAGTATCTGGTCTCAATACAGTAGGTCTCACAGCAACAGACCAAATTTCATAAGGTAAAACAAAAATGAAAACTGCTAAACGTTTTCAGTTTGCTTTCCTTTACTCTAGTCTTTTTAGTAAACTTATTTCCTCTATTAATGTATTTCTTTTTTAACTATTCTGCTGTTATTTCCTTGATTCCAGCACTAAAATTTGCCACAGGCGAATGGATATCATACCTCTTCTAAATCCTACATGACTCTCAAGCCTGTGTACTGCCTCCTCAGTCGTCCAATACACTGCTGAGCTTCAAGATGAAAAACTTATTTTGCTCTTTTAAGGACAAGTGCACCCAAGAAAACACTCAAGAGTTAATGACCTAGCCAACCTCCATCAACCAGCTTAAAAATTTTACCTTGCATATTCTACAGTTATGAATGTATATGGGTTACCAAAAGACAGAAAACCTGATTTGCAAAAATTCTTGTATTATGAAATATTTTCTGTAACTACAGTTAAATAAATATATTAATTATGTTTAAAGCCTAAGGGTAAAAAAAGTAGTATTTTCCTTACAAATACTTCAACTGCAAGAACACAATAACTAGGTGAAAGAAGATATGAAAGTCAGGGAAGTAAAGAAAATAACAACATGAAAGAATCAAGTTTTTATTATTAATGAAGAACAAGATGTTATTATAGCTCAAGGTCACATATGACAAAACAATCTTCAGTTAATGCCACATCTGTTACATACCAAGAAAATCAAAATTAAAACATAATAATTGTTTTGGTTTGTTTTCTTTAAAACCATTTGTAGATCTGCAATTTGCCACATGCTGAAAGACTGTGTTGCACACAGGCCCAGCAGGGTTTGCCACTCAGGGTCAGGACTGAGACCCCACGGGACACCGGGGTCAAATAAACTCCTAATATCAGGTGACAAAATAGGATTTCAGAGAATGTGCAGTATCTCTTAAGTTTAGTTTATTTAAAAAGGAATCCTTTAAGTAACAAATCAGGAAGTCTGACAAAGTAACTAGAATAAATATGTTCCTCCCATGTACTTAGTTCAAGTCTATGCAGCAGACTTTCTCTTTGTAGAATGAATACTATATTAAGAATATAACCTACCACAACAGAACAGCGATAAAATGGCAGTATAAAAATAAGATACATTGTGAGTGGAAGTGGAGGATGGAATAATAACCACAATATGTGCAGGGAAGAACAGGGACAGAAGGGAAACAAAAAAAGTTAACCTCTATCAAGCAACATCTATCTGTTTAGAAGAACATTCTTTCATAAAACTCGATGAAGTTACTGCACCAGAATAAAAAGCAAGCAGCTATTCAAAGTTCAATAAACCTATACAGAGCCAATATTTAATTACCTCTTCAATATGTGATGATTTTACACATACAATACCATATCTGTCCATTTTACAATATTACCTTCCCATGGGAAGAGTTGGTGTAATGCACTACGCAATTTTCACACTCTAAGTAATTAGTATAATAAAATCAAAGTTAAAACAAATGTTGAAAGAAAGCTATGTTCATAGTCAAAACAAGTAAGAAAGCAATTTTAAAAATTATGCAAATTCTCTCAAAAGTAAGAACACTCTCAGTGAAGATCTTGAAAACTTTCTTGAAAGTCAAACCAATTTTGAAATCCTACATACACACAAAAAACTAAAAGTACTATTAAATCTGTGTGAGGACCTGATGATTTGCTCTGTTTATCTGTTTTCTCTGTTTTAGACATAGCACATCTACTTCACCAGGAATCATTTCCAAAAAAAGGAAAAAGTTAAACAATAACTAAAATCAAGTGCATAAAAATGAATTAAAGGAAACAAAGCATATGTACTGCCAGGTTAAAACAAACACGTGAACAAACAAAATAAAATAACAACAACAACAACAGAAATTCCCCATAACCTGACCTTGGTCAAAACCAATACTAGGCTACAAAACATACCTGAAAAAGTTAATCACAACAATTGTAGAACAAGGACATACTTAATTCAGGTCTCCAGACAGATGAACTCTCACTAATGTTCCCAGAACAGCATTTCAAACTCTTTCTTTCCCCATTCCTTGTTCCCACCTTACGGCAGAATGTAAACCCATCCCTCTAGGAAAGCTGGCAGCTCCACTTCATAGGTGTGCATCCCCATCTAAATCAACACTCATTCCCAGTTGGAGGGAAGACACAAACCTTATTAGGAGCCACTGATACACACTGCCTTTTGCTGATGCTGCTATGGGCTCACGTAGCCAAGAGATTGGAAGGTTAATGGTGGGGTTTGTAAAGTCCTAATCATTGCCTCTCCATAGCTACTTGAGTTCATTCTCCATTCATGAGAGCATTCTATCCTATCCTATCCTATCCTATCCTATCCTATCCTATCCTATCCTATCCTATCCTATCCTATCCTACATCAATTATAACTAGTGTGTAAAATGAGGAGAAATTAATTTGTCACCTCTTCTCACACTGAAGAGCAACTTTCTGCCTAGGTAGTTAGGCAGATTTCAAAGGGATTGTATTTAATGATCTGGACATACTCCAATATAAAGATGATAAAATTTTACCTTCTGAATTTCTTCTTCAGAAGATTATTATCTTCTACCTCTTCCTCTCTCTCTCTCTCTTATTATCGTTACATCCCTATCTTTATGTCTCAAGTCTCACAATTTTCTTTGTATTAGGAGTAAGGAAATGCATGAATTCTATATGGAAAGCAAATTTATATAGTTATCATACTATACATGTCATTAGCAGCTGGTGAAGATGAAGAAATGTTTATTAATTACTAAATAAAATAAAATTTTATTATTAATCAAAATGGAGAGGGACTGAAAACTTGTTACTAACTAAAAAGGCTGGCAGTGCTGCTGTCAAAGATTCAGGAAGCTATATTTATTTTTAATTATTTACCTGCAAGCAGAGGTAATCTTTCTTCAGTTCTGCTTTTTTTGCCTGTTAGCTTTAGTCAGTGCTTTGTTCCTTCTCAGGCTGAAAGAAAAATTTTGAGAGAGTCACTCCAGATATAAAAAACACAAGCAGAAATAAAATAAAAAGAGAGTTCTATCTAGAACTGTGAAGGCACGTAAGGAAGTATTGACAATTCAGCTGACCTTACAAATGCATCAGAAGCATGATATATACAGGAACATGTCCCTAAGGCACTATCACTCATTATCAGAGCTCTGAGGACATAAAACCAATAGTGACACAAGATGAAAGATCAAAAATGTCAAGGATCATGCAAAGGTAAGTATCTTAAACTCTACCATTACTACAATCCCTAATATGGCTATATTGTTTCCCTCATTTCAGTTAAAGCATTGCTCCACAGAATTCTTTCATCTCTAGAAACAATTTGCTTCAGCTTCCTATTCAAACTGCTGATTCTTTTTCCTGGATCAAAAGTCCAAGCTAGTAGAACAAAAAGTCATCCATACATATGGATGCACCATATAAAATGAAAACACGTTACAGGTGGAAAATCATATTCCCCCTCATCTCAGTCAGAAAACTAAACAGATTGCCTACTTACAATCCACTCAATCCTTGATGATTTACCCATCCACAACATCAATTGTAAACAACAATTCTGCTTAACTTTCTTTCAGTAAAAAAAAATTTAAATATTAGTTCCTTCCACATGTCCCATTAGCCGAGGTCACACCTTTCCAACACATTAGAGAAGACCTTTCAACTTTTACTTTACGTTGGATAACATGTTTTCTTACATCAGATCCACACTAGCTTAATAACAACACAATACTTCTACACCTACAGGTACTTTGATCTAGGAATTGTTTCCAACAAATAATCACAGAAGACGGATTTATAAGAAAATGGCTACTTGAAGTGGATTTTCAGGGAAGGACTGACTTAAGCAGTAGTCCTTGAGTGGAGCTAGCCCCTAGTGTCTGCTGAAAAGTAAGGCCATGCCCACAATCCAGGGAGCAGAAGAATTGGGATGCATAAGCAGCAGGATGTCTTTGATTTCACATACTAGAGACATAGGACTGGGTAAGCAGAAAAAAACCCCACAGCACTGTGTTAGCTGTGCACCAATCCCCAAGGCTGAAACATGGAGAACCTGAGATGAAGGGCATGGCCTTTATCACCACAGCATGACCATGTGCATGCCTGAATACATATTTGCACATTTTTCTGCACACTCACATACACATTTATACATGACAAAAAATAAACTCAAGCGAAGAAAGAACTTTGTTCTAGGAAAATATCTTAGGTGTAATCATGATCTTTAACTCAGAAGATTGGCAGTACCATTTGTAACCAACCTGCCAAACTGGAAATCCCAAGTCAGCAAAAAATACCCAGGGGCGGCTACGAAGAGAATCTCAGTTGCTCTTAAACAAAGTATCAGTCCTTGTTTTACTGCTAAGTTTGCTTCCTAAGCTTTCTGCCTGAAAGAGGGCAGAAAAAAATATCAAAATAACTACATAATTTAGCCTGTCTGGCTGACAGCTACTGAGAATTACAATGATAGTGTAAATCACAGAGGAGGGAGAGGGATTATACAGTGTGATTCTAAAAGGGCATAAACGAAAAAGTAGGATGAACTTAGGGAACAGGGTAGCATAGGATGAGCATCAGAAAACATTTCTTAACAGCAATACAATATAAAGTAGAAAATAGAATATATTTTCCCACAGAAAGAGAAGTTATTTAAAGCTAAATTAGATAAAACACTGGAAAGCACAGCAAAGAAAGCATTTCCAAATAGATGAGGTCATGGATGAGAATACTTAATTAATCCTGTCCTTTATGCTACTCATTATTAGATTACCAAGCAAGATCTCAGTAAAACAAAAAACTACACAGCAAAAATATGTTAATTTTTTGGGGGTTCTTGTCTACATCAGCATTAAGGTTAGCAATGTTTAAAAGTGTCATTTGCATTTGATGCAACTATTATATAAAGAATGATTTAAACATTACTGGTAATTTTCCCCTCTTAGTTATTATTTTGCCTATAACACAAAGTTATCCTTTTAATTCTGGAATTCTATAGTATTTTTATTTCAAGCATTTCAAAAGACTTTACCAACATATGTCCACTAAGAACATCTTTCAAAATCAATATGGTGCATAATACTACATTTCATTAATCCAGAATCATCCTGTGACTGCTAAACTGTCCAGCTCCTTAATTGTCAAGTAGCACAACACCCATGAATTCTCTGGAGGACTAAAGCCACAAGAAATAGAAAGTTAAAACTGTTGCCAAGAAGGAAAACAAAATTTGATGTTTCTTTTAGTCTGATGCCCGCAGCCTGTTCATGAACCAGGAAAGGTTTAGGAGCAGTGGTAAAATAGGTGTTCCCTTAAAAGACCAAGTATTACAACAGGAAATGCACTACTGGTTGTGTTTTGGTTTTCCTACTATTACTGCTCTTACAATCTTACTTTAAACAATTCACAACATTCTGCAATTCAGTTTGGAAAGAGATGGGGTAACTCACAAAAAGCTGACCAAGAGAAGAGATTTTTCACCACCTTTTTCTTCCCTCTGAACTTCCAGGCAGAAATTTTTAAATGCACAAAGAATTCAGGAGTATAGCTGAATCTGAAATATGGAAGTTTCTCCCCCTAAATAAAAATATTCTTTTCTACAGGGAAACCAACTAAATACAATTCTTTTAAATAGCAGAGTCAGTCAAGACCTCATGTTGATACTCATGTGGAAATCTTAATTCACCATACAGAATGGTTAAATTACAGTTTGTTTCATTTGTCACTGAAATCTCAAAATTCTTGTGATCTATAATCCTTGTTTTAAAGGTCATACTCTACACTGTGTAGGATCTCACTGAGCATGACCCTATCAACCAAGAACTAAGACAAGGAAAGAAAAGAGACACCACAGCACTGCAGCATGGAAAAATTAGCATGTTTTCACGAACTGGAAAACAATTATTAAAAGAGATTATAATATCACAACAATCAATTATCATTCGGACCCTCAAAGAAAACTAATGAAAACCAACAGCAGCATACCAGGAAAGCACACCCTCTCTGAAAGTGCTCAGTGCCATGTCATGAAGCTGAAATAGTGCACCACAAGGAACAATTTAGCAACAGATGATAAGACATCGAATATGTCCCAGGTAATAGAACAGCTGTTTCTTTCCACTCCAGTCCACAGCCCCTGCAGGTACTTCATCCAAAGTCCTTCTCCTCCCTCCCTTCTTTCAGCAGCTACACGCTTAAATATTCAAGGTATTGATCCTATTACATCCTCTCAAAGTGCTTATTTATGTCGAGAGATTCAGAAAGCCAAGGCACATGGCACCTTCCTTCCCAGACCAAAGGCTGAAAGCAAAAACTTCTGTACAAATGAACACTCACCATCCCTAAATTCAGGTGTAGTTTTCTCCTCAGGAATGAGGAGGCAGTTAATGAAGTGATTATTGCTGCTTCCCCATACACAGGCTCCAGTGTCACAGGACACAGTGGTCATTTGGGCTGTGTCTGTCCTTTGAACTCCCTGCAGGCTTGCAGTGGTGCACATAAACAAAAGCCAGCAGAAACACGTGTGTCCCAGTCACAGCAATGTCCACTTCCTGCAGAATGACACAACTTCTGGGACCATAACCCATCACTTCCAAGAAAACATAGTAACGCATGCATAAGAAAATAACTTATTTTTCCAGTTAACAGTGCCAACACAACTGCTCAGAAGTGACTAGTTTCTGCCAAAAATTGATCTTCTCCCCTTGAGTGTCTTAAAGGTGAAGATAGAAAACAGAGACAAGTAGACCTTTCTCCTTTGATAGATTTACTTTGCATTTGATCATGCATTGTATGTGCTTACTGCTTATTCTAAACATAAGAGGTTTCTATGCTTTTTCAAGAGAAAAACATGGTTACCTAAAAAAAAACTTTAAAAAATAAAACTCACAAAAACTTTCAGGGAGTTTCAGGAACAGGATTAGCATCTGAGGCCATTTAAAAATAATTTATAATTACTTTTCAAATATTAAATTAATACTTTTCCTGTAAACAAAATTTGCTGAATGCTTTCATCCCAATTACTCCCTCATCTTTTAGAGCTGAGGATTGTACCATGAAAACTTTATTTCCAGCAATACCTGAGAGCTGTTGTAAAATTAGATGGAACAACTGCCACACATCCACAGAATGGTATCACATAACTTTGCTAAACTCTCAAACCTAAGTTTGGCTCTGCACATGATAGAACCATCTTTTTAAGCTGTCTGAAGTCCACCCTCAGAACAAAGGGCAGGGTAGCCACTGCTGCTTTCAGAGAAGATGGTAAGCCTGTAGACACAAAGCCAGAGTTCTGCTACAACATGTATTAAGCAGTCCAGTCACCAACAGCTGCAAAGATGGGGAGCACCAGCACCATAGATGGGCTCTGCTTCTGGCATGGCAATCTGCTTTAACAACATGGCTTGGGCTGCAAGGAGATTTTGGGTGGCCCCATGGACAAATGAAGGGCATGCTTGCTTTGTATTTCTCCATGTGAGTGTCCTAAATGCCAAGAACTAACCCAAAACACACTGCTTTGTAACATACAAGGGAAGGCCTCAGAAGCATTATGCTTATCCCAGTACTGCAGCTACACGTTTTTCTACATTTCCTGTGACATAACATTTTTAGTTTGGGCTTTGTTAAAGAGAATATCCAGGAAATTTTCTACATACAGAAAATCTCCATTTCCAGAAGCCTAAAAGGGCTGCTGAAACACAGTACACCTGTAAAGATAAATCTGAAACACATTCATGTGTCTATACTAATTACATCCGAAAGTACAGAAATATTTTAGTTCTTTGCAACAAACTGTAAATTGCATCAGATGTGCAAACGATGATAATACTCAAATGCATACGCAATAAACATGCGTTAAATTAGAAGTGGTAATTGGAAGCACTTTTGCCAGAGACATATAGAATATCTACATGGTAGCTGTTTTAAACATCTACTATATAAATAACAGACTGTGAAGGAAGGAGGAGCCCTGTCACGATACCTGAAAGGAAGCTCTAGTGAAGTGGAGACTGATCTCTTCTGCTGTGCCTGCACTGAGAGAACCAGAGGAAATGGCCTTAAACTGAGACAGGGGAGATTCAAATTACATATTAGGGGAAAAATACATTGTTAGAGTGGTCAAGCATTGGAACAGGTTACCCAGGGAGACGGTGGAGTTACCATCCCTGGAGGTGTGCAAGAGACTCCTGGGTGAGGTGGTTTAGGGGTTATAGTAGCAGTGCTGGGTGGACATTTGGACTGGGGACTAAAGGTCTCTTCCAACCTTGATGTTTCTATAACTCCAAATAAATTGTATTGCTGATAAAATTCAAAAATCAGTATTAAATACAGCTGTGGCATAATACCTGTAAGTTACAAAGTTAAGTTTATTCTGCAATGGCAAAACTTTCAGCAAAAGAACACGCTTGATGTGTGATTCAAGTAACAGAATTCATCTTAAAAACAGATATTGAGAGAGGCATAACGGAAAAATCACTATAAAACAACAGGCTCAGGTACAATGTACAGTGATGTACAATGACTCAATTGTCTATAGTGGTTTCAGAGAATGACAGAATGGTTGGGGTTGGAAGGGACCTCTGAAGATCATCTAGTATTATCTCCCTGAGAAGGCAGGGTAACCTTGTGCAGGTGACACAGGAACACATCCAGGTGGATGTTTCCAGAGAGTGAGACTCCACAAGCTCCCTGCACAGCATATTCCACTGTTCTGCTATCGTTAATGTAAAGTTGTTTCTCACATTGAGGTGAAACTTTTGGATTCTAGTTTACGGCCACTTCTCCTCATCCTTTTGCTGGGCATCACTGAAGAGTCTGGCATCACTCTCTTGTAATCCACTTTTGATATATATATTAATGAGATCCTTCTCAGTCCTGTATTCTCCAGACTAAACAGGCCCAGCACGCACAGTCTCTCCTCATGCAGACAGATGCTCCAGACTCCAAATTATCTTCGTGGCCTCTGACGGACCCTCTCCAGTACATGAACTCAGTCTGCAAATGTGTACAGCGATTCCGAGGCAACTCCCTGCACGCATTCATCACTTGTTGCTCCCCGATCTCCCCCAGCCATCATCCACCTCCCCTTGTGGCACACACCAAGTACGGGCCGCGCACACCGCGCTGTTTCCCTCGCCAGCAGAGCATCTCTCGGCGCTGTTTTCGTTTTCCCCGTTGCTCGGGCCTTCCCTCCCCGCCCCCAGGCCCTTCACAGCCGCACGGCACGGCCGAGCCCGCCAGGCACCCGCGGGGCAGTCGTGCCTTGGGACACACGCCGGAGCTGCCGGGCAGGCCCGGCCCGGCAGGACCCGGTAACCGACCCCAAGTCCCCCGAGTCCACGGCCCCCACGGCTGCCCCGGCCGGGGACTCGCTTCTCCCCGCCCCGCCCGCGCCTTGCGCTGGGCCCGGGCCGAGCCGCGGCCGCCGCCGCTCCGCGCCGCCACTCACCGCCGGCCCTGCGGCTCCGCTCCGCCGCGGCTGCGCCCGTCGCGGGCGGCGGGAGGGCGGGGAAAAGGGGCCTCGCCGCGGGAGGAGTCGCTCGGTGTCGGCAACATGGCAGCGTCCAGCCGTGCCCAGGTGCTGCGGCTGTACCGCGCCCTGCTGCGGGAGAGCCAGCGCTTCAGCAGCTACAATTACAGGTGCGGGGAAGGACTCCGGGGGCGGTGGACGCGGGGCTCCCCGCCGAGGCGTGGGGTCCCGGCGGTGCCTGGGGCAGGGGCGCGGGGAGCCGCGGCCTCGGGAGGAGCCGAGCCGTGCCCTGGAGCGACAGCGGCACCGACACCGGGCCCGGCCCCGGATCCGAGCGTAGGGAATGGGTAGCCCCCGGACCCTCTGCCGGGCCCCGGGCTGCTGCAAAAGCACCGGGGTATGGGCTATTAGGAAGAAGGGACAGGACAGAGATTGTCCCAACTTGAAGTACTCGTGCTGGGTTTCTTCAGTACAAGAAGGATAAGGAGCTGCTGGAGAGGGTCCAGTGGAGTGCCCAAAGATGAGGAAGGGTCTGAAGCATCTCTCTTCTGAGGAGAGACTGTGGGAGCTGGGCCGGTTTAGTCTGGAAAAGGGAAGACTGAGAGGGGAGCTCATTAATGCGTATAAATATCTTGGGGGTGGGTGTCATGAGGATGGTGCCCGACCCCTTTCAATGGTGCCCGGCAAGAGGATGAGCAAAGGCCATAAGATAAAACAGAAGAAGTTTCACTTCGACATGACAAAGAGCTTCTTTAGAATTAAAGTAGCAGAGCGCTGGAACAGGCTGCCCATGAAGGTCGTGGAGTCTCTCTCTCTGGAGACATTAAAAAGTCACCTGGATGTGTTCCTGTGTCATCTGCCCAAGGTGACCTTCCCTTGTCAGGGGACTGGACTCGATGATCTCCAGAGATCATTCCAACCCTAATGATTTTGTGATTTTGTAATTCTGTATAATTCTGATATAGCTCATGTCTGGTCTGTGTGGTACCCATTTCCTGGCAGCGAAGAGCTGGGGTCAGGCTGCAGCCAATGCCTGGCACCATGTGCTGTGTCCATGCTCAGGGTGTGGGATTAGGATTCACTCTTCCTGCCACACAGGATACCAGGCTGCCTGCCTGTCTGCCTTCTCTGGCTGTCGGTGAAAGGCACACACTGTTTTTGTGGCAAAACATCGGTGTAGTCCTGGTTTCCTTTAGCTATCTGCTGTGTTCACACGGAATGCTGCTCACCCACACCAGCAGAACTGAATTGCCATTTACTTTACCACTCAGTTGGACCACAGGAAGAGACATGTGAGCTACCTGTGCTGTGAATCATCTCTCAGGCAAGATGGGAACAGAAGCCTTTAAACTTGCAGAACTGTGGTGAGCTTTGTGCTCTGCAAGGCACAGGTATTCCACAAACCTCAGGTGCAAGGGAGTGAACTAGGAAGGACTGTGGGGCTGAAAATGAGCTGGTGCTAATAAACCTTCGCTGCTGACTCCACACAGCAATGTGTTTGCATCACGTTCTGTTACTATCAAGGCTTTCTCCTGCTCTTTGCTGTCCTGAGTGTCCCTGGCTTGTTAGCCTTGTTCTGGCTAACAAAGGCAGGCTTGTACGTAATGGAGATGGCTTGAGATGCACAGTTGGTGAGCAGCTGAATGAAGCTCAAGTCCGGACCACAGCTTGTTTTCAGCAATGGGTTTGTACTTTGGGGTGAGCAGTGAGGAAGTGAAGTCCACGCCAGATTTTAAAGGGTAGATATTATATGGTGTGTTTACCATGTCAGTCTGTTTTTTTGACACCGTATCACAGTGCAAGTTGCAGCTTTACTTAAAGGAAAGATGTCTAGTTTTGATGGGCCTGTCCTTAGATACTGTAAAATCAGAAACCGTCTAAAACCTTGTCGTGTATACACATTTGTGAGCACAAAAAGCCATAGCAGTTTCCAGCAAGAAACGACCAGCAGCTGTTACATTTAGAGGTCTGCTGTGACCACAACAGTCCTGCCTGTTTACACCACACCCACAGGTAAAAGGGACACCCCATTGGCTTCTTGCGGGCCAAGATAAGCACCCTGCCTGTCCTCAGGGCTGCGGTAATGTGATATGGCAGTGCACGGGAATTAACCCAAGGACTCTGTGTAAGAACCAACTTGCAGCAAAGTAGAAGGTGTTACAGATTAGTATTATTGATCCATGACTTTCAGCTAGACAGTATCAATACTTCATTACTGCAAATTGCGTATTTGTAAGAGTATGTCTGGAGCATGATCAGCTAGTTATTGTCTCTTTATTTGCTTACTGTGTTTTTCTCCTAATTTGATTGCTCTGGTTTAATTTAGCAGGCAGCTAAACACCACACAAGTGCTCGCTTGCTCCCCCCCTCCCCAATGGGATGGGGGAGAGAATTGGAGGGGAAAAAGTAAAATGGGTGGGTTGAGATGAAGACTTTTTAATAGAACAGAAAAGGAATGAATGATAATAATAATCAGAATATACAAAATAAGTGATGCACAGTACAGTTGCTGCCAACCAATACCCAGCCAGTTCCTGAGCAGCAGCCCCAGCTGGCTTTCTCCCAGGTGTATATACTGAGCATGACTCCACATGGTACAGAATATTCCTTTGGCCAGTTTGGAGCATGCTGGCTGTACTTCCTGCTAGTTTCCTGTGCCTCCCAGCCTACTTGCAGGTCGGTTGGTGTGAGAGGCTGAAAATTTCCTGACTTAGTGTAAACCTTGCTTGCCAAGAGCTAAGAGATCAGCATGTTGTCAACATCACTCTCATCCTAAATCCAAAACACAGCACTGTACCAGCTACTGGGAAGGAAATTAATTTGACTTTCCAGACAAAACCAGGACGTAGGTACATACAGATTGTGGTGGAAAATTCGTATTTTTTGGTTTATGTGTCTCTGAGTAAATATATTCTTTAGGTCATCTCGTAGCCCCAGATTTTCTCCTGCCACCCAATAGAACTTGTGTGGTAACTGTGAAGAATATCACTCATCTCTTAAAGTAACTGAGGTCACCACTGGCAGCATTCAGAATAACACAGGAGCATCTTCTGTGTCCTGAAGTAAATGTCACAGAGTGTTTGGACACCCAGTTGTGTACGCCAGGTTTTAACAGCATGGAGAGGGAATTTAGTAGACTGTAAGTAATTTCATGCCTGCCCTTCTGCCCTATTACCCAAGCAGAGCATGAGAGAGTGATTTGTACTGGAGGAAAATCAATATGCAGAAGGGCAAGATGTTAGGTTTTGAGTCAAAAGGGTGGTTTTTAACAAGTGTACTATTTTCTTCTGCTTGGTTGACAAAAAGTAGAACCTCTGATGCTTTATAATACGTTGGATTATAGTCTCAACTAAACGGATTTAAGGGATATTTCTAAATATCATTCGTGATTTAAATAATGGTATGCTGTGAGTGGTTTCGGTACAGAAAATGAAGGAATTTATAAACTTGTGAAAGCCATTAAAATACATCTGGTTGCAAATGAAGATAATCAAAACTTAAAAATTTATTGTTTGTTTAAAGTGTCTGAAGCTCACTGGGAATCTAATGGGAATGTAGGACTTCCTAGTCTTCCCTGAGAGAGTTTGTCATCTCCATGTTTGAAGGTTTTCATAATAGGTTGAGCCAAAGAGCACCATGGCTGACCTCACCTTGTTGCATGCAGGCCTATTTCAAGTGTGACATTGACCTGGAAAAGCTCCAGAGAGTCTAGCTAGCCAACTTACTATGATTTTCAGACCCCTAGCCTTCCTGGCCCTATAAAGATACAAACAGTGGCTAATAAGTTCAGAGTAACGTCATATGACATACTTCCAGCTCATCTGCTTTCAATTTATTTAATTTCTTGTAGTTATGAGCAATGTCAGAAGCTTTGAGCCTCTCGGTTGGAATTTTTCTGCAAATAGTTTTTTAAGGTCTTTCTTGGTTTATTGCGGATTTTTTTCAGTTATCCATTATGTTCTGTTTTAACTGGTGGAAGTTGTATTTTTATTTATAGATACATTTCTTTCTTGTCTCTCTAAATTGCATTTTAATGGAATTTGATTTTTCTTTTAGAATGTACAATATTATTTGACTAATGAAGCTACCCAGAATATAGGAGAATCAGGGAAGAAAATTTGTCAAACAAATTTGTCAATTTGTTTGCATTGGAAACAAGTTAATCGAATGCATGCAGTCTCATCTGAGACATGTCCTTCAAGATTTAAAACTAGTAAAGCTGATTTATGCAAGTGACTACTAACCTAGGAGAAAAATCGAGCAAAATTATTTGCATTGGTTTTTTCACCGCCAGTTACTTTATCTATTTTGACTGACAGTTGTTGATCTGATTTTAGGGACAGTTGTTGATCTAGAACATAGAACCATAAAACAGTCTCAAGATTGCTGCCCCTTTTTCTTGTGGGGACTTCCGTTTGCCAGATGTCTTCTGGGAATATAATACTACCGAGAGGAAGGAGTCTGGGAGGTTCCTGGAGTGTGTGGAAGATAAATTCCTAATGCAGTTGGTGAAGACACCCGACTGGACCTGTTGTTTGCCAAGAGAAAAGGACGGTTGTGTTGTGAGAAGATTAGAGGACACCTTGGGCACAGCAGTCCTGAAATGATAAGAGTTAGCAGTTCTCACAGACTAAGGAGGGGGATCAGCAGAACTGCCACCTTGGACTTCCAGAGGGCAGATTTGGGCCTGATAGGAGACATGTTCAGAGAGTTGCTTGAGACACAGGTCCTGGAGGGTAGCGGTGTCCCTGAAGGCTGGACATTCTTCGGGACAGGAATCTTCAAGACACAGGAGCAGACTGTCCCCATGTGCTGGAAGATGAGCCAGCAGGGAAGAAAAGCAGCCTGGCTGAACAGAGAGCTTTGGAGGGAACTCGGGAGGGGAAAAAAAAAAAAAAAAAGGCAAGCAGAATTTACAGAGTTTTTGACCAGTAGAGGAAAAGGCAGACTATGCCAGGGAACTCCTTGGATGTCATGAGGTTTTGCAGAGGGAAAATTAGAAGAGCCAAACCCCCGCTGGAACTTCATCTGGCTACTGCCATAAAAGAAAATAAAAAATGTTTCTGTAGATATATCAGCAGTAAAGGAAGGGCTAAAGAGAATCTCTATCCTTTGTTGGTTGCAGAGATAAACATAGTGACGAAGGATGAGTGAAAGGCCAAGGTACTTA